TTATAATATTAATGATTTTTTAACCTGTTTATAGCTTATTTAGAAAGGCAGTTAAATTATACTTGTTTTTGGACATTATATTTGAAAGGTACATCTTTTTTTTTGTCGTAAACTTTGAGAAAAAACTAGGGCTAGTTAGCTACACATTTGAGTGCAGAGTTTCATACAATGAAATTAGAATTAAAGTAACCATGAAAATGTAAAGAAATAAAATTTTGAATATTAGAAAATGAAAAACATTAAAGTCATTAAAGTAGAGTATTGTCCATTTTATTTTCAAACTTTTATTTACTGTTCTGTCATGATTTAGCTAGAGTTAGTGTTAGGGTAGGGAAAATAACAAATAAAATATAAACTTTTCCTGTAAAAAACTTAATATTTATTTAGAAGGTTTTAGAGCTTATGCAAATAAAATATTAAAACTGTAAGATGAAGAGTATTTTTATTCTTAGTATGAAAATTATCTTCTCTCAGATTTAATTAATATAGGTTTTGGAAATTCACAGTCAAATCTTTGCTATAAATACTTTATTAAAAATTTTATTTTCTTAAAAGCTTGCCTAATTTCACAAAGATACACTCAGTAATGTAATTACAAAGTTGGTCGTTTTGACAAAGCCCATGCATTAAACTTTATTGACTTATATTTTGTAGATACATGTTTGTAAACTAGGCTGTGCATTTGTTGTTAAATTGAGTTTTAAATATTGTTTTTGTAACTTTTCTAACCTGTATTGAAATTTGAGAAGTTATTTTTTCTTGTTCTACAAATTTGGGACCTTTATTCAATCTTTCAGCATAACCATTTTGTGCTTGTTATAGTTTTCATACTATAACTTTTTGTCTTTTTGCATGTTGCCTATGTATCATGTAAAGTAATATTCATTTTAAGATAAAAATGCTTTTATACATCAGAAAATTTTGAAATTTCACATGCAAAGTCTTTATAATATCCAGATAGTTATCAAGCATTTCTTAAGAAAAAACTTTATATTTTGAGTAATTAATCTCTGTATGGATTCGGTAGATTTGACTGATATCTCGCAACCACCATAAAAAAATTAGGGAATAAATATAAATTTTTCCTCTCTCATTCTAGAATGAACACAAATTATAATGCAAAAACATAAATGGTTAGACTAAATAGCTTAAATCTCATAACATTATATATTTATTATTTGTATTATATTGACCTTTCAGCCATGCCTGGCTAACAATACAGAAGTTACAATGACACGGCTAACATGAACTCGTGTCACCGTATCAAATAACATAAAATTGACCTTTGGTCTATACAAAGTAACTTGGCTGTGTTTTAGTAGACTAATATTTTGTAAAATACAGTCATGTTTCAATTATTATACATTATATATGTATATGGATTATTGCTATTTTGAAATAAGTTCTTAAACTTATTTTTCTTAAAACATTGAACAGTAAATAAAGAAGTAAAGCAAACAATTATCTCGTCTAGTTAAGACCTTTGTACTCAATTGCTGCTTGACGTAGGTTGCTAAGCCTAAAATTTTGCACATCAAGGATATGAAACAAAATATTTTTTTTGGGGTTTTATATATACTTTTGAATAACTAAAAAAATCATAAATTACTGCATCAATACCATAGAATTCCACTATAATTTATCAAGCATAGTAACTAAGATATATTTTGGTCTCAAAATATGAAATATTGAGCAGACTAAAGACACACCCTACCTCCTTAAAATATTGGTTCAAAAGTAAGGAATGGCATCAAGCCCGTTAAAATGGCTGAGAAAGCCACTAGGGGGATATTCTCACTTTTCGATTGGTTATTCATGTCATATATAGAAGTAAGTGGAAAGAGATGAGCAGGGTGCCACCGTTTTTGATTTATTACATGAGCAATATCTTAGCAAATAGAAAAGATAATACCTTCTTATTTGATATTCTAGCTTTTAAATTAAGAAATTTAATGATATATAGTACTAAAATTTAAATTATAATCTACAGTTTGATACTAAAGTTATTGACATAAATTCATGAAACTTTGAATTTGAGTCAACAGACGAGATGACATGGCCTTTCACCCCTGACCCGTCTCGAAAGAGTAAAGTTAGTTGACTGTAACATGGTGATTCCTAATAACATACGTGGATAAGAGTCTCTCTGAGCATATCAAAATATTTTGTTACTTCTGACAGTAACTTCTTTACATATATTTTGTTACTTCTTTACATGGTATGTAAAGTAAAGAATATGTGGAGGTGGTAAAGAAGGATAGATTATGCATGACTTATTTCAGTTTTTATTGTTACAAAGTATGGATTGGGTTAAAATTGAGGAATTTGCTTTCTAGAACCATTCTTATGATGGGTCGTTATGTAGAACCTATTGAAGATGTGCCATGTGGAAACATCTGTGGACTTGTTGGTGTTGATCAATTTTTAGTAAAAACAGGTACCATTACAACTTTCAAAGAAGCCCACAACATGAGAGTAAGTTACCACATCATAATTATATTGTAGATGTAAACAGAAATTTATTGTGGGAGTGAAGAGTACATTATGCCCTTGTTAATAACAGTAATTATTTGTTATAGAAACAAATATGTTTTCTTTCTGGAGTCTTTTAAGTATAATGAGTGTTTCTTAAACTAAGATGAATCATCCCTGTAAAATGTAAAAAAACAAAGTATTTAACCCTCTCGCTATGGACAGGTCAAAGTGCACATTTCACAACTTTTTAGTGCATTACATTCAAAATTTAATTAAACTACTTTATTATCATTGTATACAACATAGTTAATTAATTAAATTTCAAATATATAAGTATTGAGTTCTTACTTTTAGAAGAAAATGCTTAAAGAAATCCTCAATCTCATCTAGTATAAGAATTGACATTTGCTTTCTAGGACTTTGCTCTTCTCTTAATTTATTAATCACCTATACAAGAAGTACAGAATTTAATGTAAATTACTCATAATATAGATATTACTAAGGCAAAGAATAACTTGTTGCCTTCAATCTTATTTGTTTATGGAGCTATAAACTAGAAAATCATACTCATTTGCCATCCTCATCTGTCACATTCTTTCTGATGTTTTATATTATATTATTTATTACTAATAGAAAGCCAAAATTTTAATCTATCAAATGGCATACTATATTACATTGTTGCCTGTACAGGGCATTATCTATTTCATTGTTCAGTTTCAAATTTATTCTCATGGGAATCACACCAATGAGTTTGGCTATATTTTTGAAGGCTCTATTGCACAGTTAGAAAGCCAGAAAAAGTATTATAATAGTTGTAGGACATTGTTTGCTTTTTGAATGTTATTATTCTGTGGCCCGGCATGGCCAGGTGGTTAAGGCATTCTACTCGCAATCTGAGGGTCGCGGGTTCGAATCCGTTACACCAAACATGCTCACCCTTTCAGCCGTGGAGGCATTACAATGTGATGGTAAATCCCATTATTTGTTGGTAAAAGAGTAGCCCAAGAGTTGTTGGTGGATGGTGATGACTAGCTGCCTTCCCTCTAGTCTATCATTGCTAAATTAGGGATGGCTAATGAAGATAACCTTCTTGTAGGTTTGCACAAAATTCAAAACAAATCAGTTATGTGTGTATATTTATCATTATAAAAGAGACTAAAATGTAAACATTATACACTTATTAGTTAGAATAGGCAAGATAATGAAAAAACATTTTTTGTATTCTTCACAAGGTATGCTCATGAACAGCTCTTGTGCTACGTCATTCAGTACAGTGAGGTGAGCTATTAGTTTGCCAAGGGATTTACAACTTGTTTGGCAGGGTTATTTGTTAGGCATGGTTCAAAGGAAAATAAAACAATAAAATTATATACAAACAGATTTATACTGTTACGAGCTTTAAGCTGTTTAGGATAAACAGTTTTAGTTTCATGTTACAATTTGCAGCCATTCTAGAAAAAAAAAGAAGGGTAATATAGATTTATTCTGTTCCTTTTTTTACGGTGGTTATGATATTGATCAAATTGGTATAAAGTTATGATAGAAAAAATAACATAAAAATGAGGTTCTACTGAAAAAAAATGTTGGATATTTATTTAGGAGATTTTAAAGAATTTGCAAATGAAACTTGACAATTTTCAGATGAATAATGATGGTTATGAGGTTGTTTTAATTGACCAAATGGGTATAAAGTTAGGGTAGAGAAAATAACAGATAAAATATAAGGTACTACTGAAAAAAATGTTTGATCTTTATTTAGAAGAATTTAAAGAATTCACAAATGAAACTTGACATTTTTCAGATGAATAAAAGCATTTTTAATCTTAAAATGAAAAACACTTTGCACTTGGAGCAGTCAATAATCTGACTCCATATATTCACGGATAAATTTTTGTAACAATATTTTATTAAAAATTCTAATTTTTTTTTTATATATATACAAAAGACATGTAAAGTTTAATGAAAGCTTGCAAAATTTCATGAAGATACACAAAACATTAAAATTTATATTATGGAAATTTTGGTCATTTTGGGGTTACGTGATTGGTGTAATTTACCGAGTCAGTAGTGAGAAGGTTAATATTACACATTTTATGTGAACTTAAATCATAACCTTAGAAGCTTTCAATAAACTACATGTGAATATTTTTGTATTTAAATAGATCATATTTTCTAAATCGAAGATTTAAAATAAAGTGCTACAAAGTCAGTTTTATTGTTCAGGTTCTGAAAGTATGGGATCTCTATAACTTATTTTAGATGAAACAGTTGCTTAAGAACAACTTGTTTTATATAAATTATTATTGCCTTGGTGCACTGACTAGTTTTTTCTATAGAATGTTTACTGAAACTTCTATTATTGTACTTGTTATATAAGGAACAAAGAGTGCAAGTTAAGTAGTAGTAGTACTAGAAACTGCACTTTTAATATACTGTTTCTGGATTTGTATTCACTTGTTAAGAAACCATTAAATTTTCAGTTAGTAATGCATCTTTTAAATTGCAATATTTTGAATTCGGTTACGTTTTGGTTTTAAAATTAGGTGATGAAGTTCTCAGTAAGTCCCGTTGTTCGAGTTGCTGTTGAACCACAGAATCCTGCTGATTTACCCAAACTTGTAGAAGGTCTGAAGCGTCTAGCTAAGTCTGATCCAATGGTTCAGGTATTATTTATTCTATTAATTAAGGTTAACTTACAAGATAAGGTTTGGTTTTTTGCTATTGGATATTTTGAGTTGTATTTTCAAACTATGCATATCTTTTTATGTTTAATTTGCTTGTGTATAGTTAATTTCTTATGTAAATGAAAAAAAAGTGAAGTTTCTTTAAAAATTTCACATAAACACAGGGAATTATAGTTGTTTTTGTCAAGCAGTGAACAAATTAAATTTGAATTGCCAAATTTTAATTACATTAACAGTAACTTAGCTGCTGCTTTTTAAACTGGCCTTTATGTATTTGTAATAAACTTTAATTCTGACTTGAATTCAGTGAATGTACTTCTGTAGGAATCACAGAAATGTGTTGATATGATTCTGTCACTGTGAAATGTTATTTTCATTCTGTATCTGTCATGGTAATTGAATTTTTGGTTATACATCATACATCATCTTGGAGAGTGTATAATAACTGCTCATAATATTTGATGAGTACTTTAGAGGTAATGTTTGATGTTTGTAATGTGATGTATTTTATACTGGGTGTTCAATAGTCATGTAAAGATAAGTTTTAAAGTAAAAAGTAATGTTGCTAAAAATTGCTTTTATGCTATGAAAGGGCTTATGAATATCATTGGAATGGATATCTCCTATTTTTATGGTTTTCTCCTATTTTTATGGTTTTCTCCTAGTTTTCACACACTTGAAATATGTAATTGTTAAAAATTTGTAATCTGCAAAAGAAAAATAGTACAGTAACATTTCAGTGATACTGGTTTTGCCTTTAAGTTTCCAGCTTAACTCTTATTGGAACTTAACTGAAAAAATTGTAGCATTTAACAGACTTCATATTAAAGTTTTGAGAAATGTGTAAATAAAAAAATTTTTCAACTATTTAACTAATTTTACTCTTAGTGCATTATTGAAGAATCAGGGGAACACATTATTGCTGGAGCTGGGGAATTGCACTTAGAAATCTGCCTGAAAGATTTGGAGGAAGATCATGCTGGAATTCCGTTAAAGAAAACTGACCCAGTGGTGTCTTATCGTGAAACTGTCTCTGAAGAGTCCAAAATTACGTGTCTTTCAAAGTCTCCAAATAAGCACAACAGGTTGTTCATGAAGGCTAACCAACTTTCTGATGGTTTACCAGAGGACATTGATAGTGTAAGACTAATATTTTTTTCCAGTTTATGCTATGATTGTAAATTTTGGGAATTAATAGTTTGAAAAATTCTAATTCTAATTATGTTTACTGAAAAAGTGCAACTGGATCAGAACTGCCTTGCACCTTTCAGGTGTTGAGTGAACACCAGCATATGAATTTTCAAAAAGATGTGTGCTGTTGTGTTTTTGGGTTCTGAGAAACAGTCTTCAGCATTCTTATTGGATTATTTCAGGTCATTAGTGACAAAGTGAATTATCAGGAATCAGACAAATTTGGGAAGAGAAATGGTCATAGGTATAACATTTTTTTATTTTTGCTCCACTGATGGATTTTGAAAGGATTGGGTGTTTATTAAGAAAAGTTAAGTGTTCATGTAGGTACTTGAGCATTGAATCTTCTAAATTCCCTAAGTTATTACCTATCACTTTAAACTCAGAAGCATTTTGCACATTCTGAAAATACATTTTCATCTTCTAAAACTGAATGATTGCTTTAAACAGATATTTCCTGAAGTTCCTGTTGTCTCCTTCCAGGAAAGCAGAAGTCTAAAAAATATCCTTGTTCATGCAAAAGTGAATTACACCCAATCAAAGGATGATTGTCATGTGTAATAAAGCTGGTTGTCAAACCTGCAAGTTCATAAAAACTATTGACTCTTTTTTTTTCTGACAAGCAAAGCAGAGAAACTTTATAATTTATAAAGAAATCACTTGTGGAACACAGAAAACCATTTACCTTATACAGTGTAAAAAAAATGTAATCACCAGTATGCAGGACATACACAAACAACTCTTAGAGAATATTTCACCAACCAAAAGTCTTCTATTAACACCGAAAAAGATCTCTCTGTTGTTCAACACTTAACTAACCCGGTCATTCTATTAAGGATGTTACTCTCATCAACATTGAAACCGACTTTAAAACTAAAGCTGATAGAGAGATAAAAGAATCTTATTAGATTGCTAATCTAAATACTGTTTAACCTGTTGGAAGAAATCTAAATCCTGGAATCAGTAATCTCCCATCATTGGTTTGTTCTCTGTAAGAAAAATAATTTTTATTTTTTTCATGTTGTGTGAACTCTCGATGTTTGCAACTAAACTTTCTAATACGTTATGATAACTTTCCGTGCCTGTCTTTACAGATTGATCTGATTAACATTTCTTTTTCAGTCAGTCTCCATGTGTCACCTTTATTTTACTTTAACAACACTTGAGTATAGTTTTTCTTGACCGTTTCTAAAGCAAAACGTCTCTAACTCCTTTTTACATAACACTAATTTTCCAGTCGTTTTGCACCAGAAACGAGAGACACTTACAACAGTACATTGAAAAATATACAAAACACTTCCTGGAAGCATAAGTGACCTTCATGACATCACTCAACTCCCTTTATATGTCACTTATTTGGTTACACCACCATTCCCAGTTTCCCCCTTAAGAAGAAAGGTTCACCTTTTGAATGTGCTTGGGTTATATGGTTTTTTATCATCTTGTATCAAGACTTCTTGAACCTACATGTTTTTCTGACACCATGATTATGGTTTGTTAAAATATTGGCTACCTGGAGCCTCTGTAAGATTGAACAAAGGGATATAGAGGGAAGTTTACAACAGTTGGGAACAAACCTCAGATCTGGGAAATGTTTTCAGTTTTTTCAACTTTTTTTCTTTCTGAGAATGTTTAACTTGTATCTATTTGAAAGGCAGAAAAAGTTTGTTCTGTGACATGACAACAGGAAAGTTTATATAGGTTTAGTGAGTATGAAAAGCTATGACAAACTATTCATATGACTCAAATCCTTTTTATTGAATATTATTGTTTATAAAAATCAATCATAAGAAAATGAAAACTGGCAAATATTTTTTGGTGACTGAGATATAATGTTTCATAGTCATCATTACCTTTGTCAGGTTAAGTGATAGTATTTTTGCTAATACAATTGATATTTAAATTGGTTTATATCTAAATAAATATTTTTTATTTTCATTAAATGATAAGTTATTTTATATATTGATGTTGTGTGAATATCATAAACTTAACAATGATATTCAATAACCAAGGATTTAGATTACCGGAATATTCTGCCATGATCTATCATACTCTCTAAACCAAAGCAAGCTTACTTGATTTCTTGTCATAGAAAAAAGTTCATGTAGCTTTCAAATAAGTATAAGTTAATGTAGAAACTTTTTTAGGAAAAAAAAAAGAGCATCCAAAAAAACCTAAGAAAATTCACAGATATGTGAATTTTTCCAATGTCTTCTAAACTTCCTATAAGATTCCTTTGTTCATCTTTGAGTAGCTCTGTCTATTCTCTCTAATCCATTAATTACTGCTCACACCACTTTATATATTAGACTAGCAGATGCCTGTTGGAAGAATTCAATGGAAAATTTCCTAAAAATAGTGATGATTAAATAAAAAAAAATGTATAGTCCACCTATTACCTTGGATCATAGCATATATTCCATAAGATTGTCTAGTGAGTTGTTTACAACCATATTGTGTCATTACACTTGTTATTTCAATAAGAAAGACTGCATTACATTTGTTTTGTTTTTAAGCACACTGTAATGCATTGTGTGTCAGAAATGTTTTGGTTTCGATGCAATGGGTGCATCCAGCAAAATAGAGCTCTCAGGTTTGCAAAGTAACCATGAGGATTTTTCTAATGTATGCCACCATTTCTTGTGATTTTACTGAGCACCAGAAAAGACTACTACTACCAAAGTAAGTGCTTTTGACAGTTATTTCTGTAAGAAGTGTCAAAGGAGAAGTATTTAATTCAAGTCGATTTATTCAACATGGTACAATAAAATCATCTATGTATATAAACCGACATGAAAATACTATATATATATATACGTATAAATCGAACAACAATTATATACCTCTCTTTATGCATTTTTTTGCATTCAAATTGCTATCTCCAAATGTTTCTTTCAATTGGTAGATGGAGGAAGTCCTGTGTGTGTAAACTAGGCTGTGTCTTTGTTTTTAAAATTGAGTTTTTTAATTTTGTTTTTGTAGCTTTTAATTTAACCTACACTGAAGTGTGGGAAGTTTTTCTTTTTTCTTACTCTACAACTTTGGGGCTTATATTAAGTTGGTTAACTGTAACATGGTGATGCTTAATAACATACTTAGATAAGGATATCTCTAAGCCTTTCAAAATATTTTGTTACTTCTCATAGAAGCTAGAAAGCCATGTTGTAAAGTGAAGAATTTATGAAGGTGGTAAAAAAGGATAAATTGTACATGATTTATTTCTGTTACAAATTTTGGGTAGGGTTAAAATTCCCTAACAAAAATAAACATTTTTGTTCTTAAGTTTTTTCTCTGATCGACCATTCAGCACCTACGAAGACTGATGGATTGATGTGAAATTTTGGAATTGCCAAATATGAATAATTTTCATGTAATGACCTCTTGAAAAGAAGCATTTTGATAACTAATTATTTTTCCCATGATTAACCATTCAGGAGACAGAGGGACAAGACACATACATTTGGCTATTGTATGTATGAATATGAACCTAAGAGTATTATAATCTGGTCTATCCAGTGGTATTTTACTTTGCCTGTATATATTTTCAAAGCTCTGCTGCGTCAGTGATTGTTCAGACCACCTGGTATGACATCATAAAAACTTGAAGGATTGTAGTTAATAATAAAACTTCAAACAGAGAAGGTAAATCATGAGAGATAACACATATGACTAATTATATTCACAAGGGATGATAGTTTCTTAGCAAATATAAACTTGAGCTTAGAGATGAGCAGAAAAATGATACAAAATCCAATAAGTGCATTATTGACAGGTGAGGATTGTTGAAGCTGGGCAGAAGTACAAATTTGGCATTTTGTTGTAATTCTTCTTTGCAAGTTGCACTAAATAAATATTAAAAATGGTAAATTATTTCAAGTTAAAAATTGTTTAAATAGTTAAATTTTTATTTTTAATTAAGTTTTGAAATTTGATATGCAGGTGTACTCACAGATTGTGATAAAATTAAGCATTTATACTATTAGCACTACAACCAAAACGTCATTTTTCTGTATATTCAGTGTTGGGTAAAACTGTTCAGCAAAGATTTAAAACTTTTTTTTTGCTACTTTGTTTCAAAATTAAATGGGTACTTGACACACCAGTATCTTATTTGGCAGTTTTTAAAATGTACATTTAATTCCAGAAAACAGTTTTTTTATTGTGGGGCAATTTAAAAACTGATATATATATATAATACTTTGAAGGGATTAAAAAAAATGGCATCTTTGAGATTTACTGTTTGTCATTTTCTCTGTTTAGGGTAAGGTAACTCACAAAGACGACTTCAAAGCACGTGGTCGTTACCTGACAGAAAAGTATGGCTGGGATGCCACAGAAGCAAGAAAAATATGGGCCTTTGGGCCTGAGGGTAATGGACCAAACCTACTCGTGGACTGCACCAAGGGAGTTCAGTACTTGAATGAAATCAAGGATTCTGTTGTTGCTGGCTTCCAGTGGGCAACAAAAGAGGCAAAGTATTTTTTTGTAACTTAGATTTGTTTATTTCAAAGTTTATGTTGCTAAATGTAGAAAGTAAGAAAACATACCTGGAATCTGTTATTAGTGTGGATGGGTCTTATTATTCATGTGAAAATTTGGGGGGGGGGTAGTACTATTGATTGTTAACCTGCTGTTCAATATGTAGATGGCATATGGGGCAGGTTTGGATTGTATTGTTCTTTATCTTCATGACATACCACATTTGATTGACCAAATGTCAGTATCAAGCCAATGACATATAGTATAGGTTAAGACAATCAGTTGTTGGTAAAATGTAAAATTGGCTGTTCAATGTGATGATATTCATGTGCTAATATTTTTGCAAATACAGTAGTGGATGCTTTCATTGTTTCAATGGGATAGGATGTGCACTCTAGGTGACAAATTGAGAAAAAGGCAACAAGGCAAGAGTAAAAGAAACGGACGAGGGTGTAATAAACCTTGTTTATCATTGACCTGGTTAAAAACAAAAAGGTGGAACTTTCAGTAGTTATTGGACATTGGGAACATATTAATGTTTATTTTGAGCAATTAATTTTCTTTCTAATTTATTGAAAATGCACGAGTTTCAAGAGGTTATGCTTCCTCACCCTCTACTGTCTCTACTTGAAACCTGCCTGGGGGCTTGTGGACACTCCACTCTTTCTCATGTTTTAAAAACATGCATCTTGCAGATCTTACCTCAAGTGGGAAGTAACCATACACATAATCTATGCACATTGTATTTACATTTTGTATCTTCTACTTTATGGATTTCAATCACACCTATGTGTTTGTCTCATGCAGAGTAAGTTTAGCTAGTCTGACTGATTGAAAATTACAGTATCACAGATGCATTGATCTGCATGTATATTCCACACGTTTTTAGTTATTGGTAAATAACTTACTTCAATAATTAAATTTTTATGATGAAACAAACACATCAAAGAAGGTTAATTATAACATTAAATAAAGTTTTTTTTATATTAAATGAATTTTAAAAACTTTTTTAACAATGAAATTCTATTGCTGCTCAACTATACAATCGAAGTGTCAACTTTTTTGCAAGAAAATACTTTCCATTATTTCTTGGCGGTTAATTTTTTTTCAATTCTGTATTCCTACTAAAATTGAATAAATAATTAGCATGTGATTCTTCATGTTCACACAATTAAACGTTTATTATAGCCATCAACAGCTTCCACTTTACTACATGACGTATTTTGATGCACTTCTGCATCATGTGTAGGAGTTAGGTACAAAACAATATTTATACTTTTTTTTACACGTCATGTTTATAACACTTAGTTACCTAAAGAATTGGCCATTGTTTGCAATAAGTCATGCCATATATCATTTAAGTGACTTGATAGCCTTTCATCTCAATTTAGTACTTGTTTTTTTTATTATTATTATTATTTCCAATGATTATCAGATATTTCAAGCTGTAATGTTATGAGGTTGAACTAAGAGTGCAGTTTTGTTCCATAGTATTGTGAATTGGGTTTTACATGTTCTGCTGTAACTGAATGTTTTGTTTTATTGTTTCTTACGTAAACCTTCAGTTCAACAAACTTTTGGCCTTGAACATCAGTTTTATAGGAAACTATTAGTGAGTATATGATAAATATTGCCTTTAGACAGAATTCTTTATCATAAAATACCCTTTTGTAGTATTAGTCTTAATTTTACTTCTGTTTGATGGTTTTATTATTTATGAAATTTATTATGTTGCTCTTGATTTATGTACTTGTAACTTATTTATGAACTTAAATATATTTTGGTACTTTATTTTATTTATTTATTTTTTTGTCATGGAGGTTACAAAGGTAGACTATAAAATACAAAATATGTATAAAGGATGATAAAGAAACTGATCCTGTATACTTATGTATGCTATGCAAGCAAAAAGTTTAGTTAATTATCCTAATTATATGTAATTTTTTGTTTATCTTCGATGACAGTCAAAAACCCTAGCTTATCAGAAAACTGTATCTGATGTGATATGGTTTGTTATTTTCCTAATAATTTGTTATTGCATTTTTACAGACTTTCATCCATAAATAAATGCACATGAGATCTTCATAAATTATGTAGGATTATATTTTACACTTCTTCCTATTCTGTATCTTTATTTAAACTGTAAAAGGATGAGAAATGTTATATTTGCTGTACCCACCAACTTGATATTGAGAAGATATATCTACATACCTCACCCTTTCAAACTACAGGGTAAAAACTATCTCTGTGTCTACAGCACTAATCAGTTTTAGTGGAGTCAAAATAGGGATTTGTGGCTTGAGAAAATAATGTAGACACTATTTACAGCGTAGTTTGTTTACTTTATATATATATAGAGTCCCTACTTGAACGTTTAACAAGCAAATTACAAAAAACAGTGGAATAAATGGCAACTCAAAAGTGTAGAGAAATCTACTATGATAATCGGCTAGAAAATTCACTGAAATAGTCACAGAAAACCATGTTGATACAAAGTACAACAGCGAACTCGAGAAACAATAAAGAACAGCGAACTTGAGAAATGACAAATACTCATTGTGGCAGTTTGCAATTAATGTGCTAAAAGTTGCACAAATAATTTTCCAATTAGTGCACATTAGTAAAACACTGGCTTTCTTCAATAGCAGAGAGTGAAGAACCTAGAGAAATTCTTCAGGGCCAAAAAATAAAGGCACTTGAATTAATTTTAAAACTACTTTATGACATAATACTGCATTCATTACTATTGTCCAAGTTTCACTAAAATGTTCGTAGCTGTTTTTCTGCAGCAGCTTGTAAAACTATAATCAGTAATAATAAGGATGGAGACAGTGTTATAAATATGCACATTGTTTAATAAAATGAAGTATTTGCGACCAGTATAAAGCAGTGCTTAAATGGCTTCTACATTTCTGTGACACTTGAATGGTTTTGAAGAGCATATGTTGGTAGCAAATAAGAACTTAAATTTTGGAGGATGGAAGTCTTGACTTTCAAGAATCAACTTAAAAGTAGCCCTACAACCTTAGCAGAAGTTTGTTTAGTAGCTGTGCATAGATTTTGATGCTTGAATGGCTTCAAAAAGAAATTTGGCCAGTAGCAATACAAAAGACTGACTGAATCTCTCCTCTTTCAAGAGCCAACATAAAATAGTCCGATTACCTGCGAAGGAGTTTCTTTAGTAGGTTTGCCAAGGTTTGAATAAAATATTCATAGCCATTTTTTCTGTAGGCTTATGAAACAAGAATAATATGAATTTTGTCTGACAATCAGAAAACCAACTTTTTTGCTATTATCAATATTTTAGCAGCCTTAGCAATTGAGATAGAAGGTATTGAGTTTTGTTTCTAGAACAAGTACACTTTTTAAGATGGTTTTTGCCCATATGTTCTATTAGAATTTTTGTGAAATTCCTGGGTGAACCCTGTCATGAACCACTGTTGTAGTTTATGATATAAATGCAACTGTGTACTTTACAGAAAAGTTTGCTTTATATATCTTCTTACTAACAGATAAGAAATCCAAAACCAATTAAGATTAATATAATTGGTGAAAAGATAAAATTTCCACCAGAAAAGTATTTAAATCTATAGGTCTTCTTACAACAAATAATCTTTTGTGGGATATAATGTTTCATAATTATAATATACTATGTGTAGTTCATAGTTGCTTACACTTGTCTCTACCAACAGCTGTAAAATGAGAAGAAAGTCACCCACCATATAGAAATTATTACTTGATACACTAGCTGACCTTAATTAGACATTGATCACTTCATGTTGAGACCTCCCATCCTGTTATAAGTACCAGCAACTTGTAATAATTATCCAAATTGATGTTGTACTTCTCTCTTTTACTCAGAATTATTAATGCAGTAGTCTAGGAAAATCTTCCTGTTGGTTTTACATGAATCTCATTTTAAATGATTCTTATTTGCAGAGTGTCCTTTCAGAGGAAAACATGAGAGGAGTTCGTTTCAATATCTATGATGTGACCCTACATGCTGATGCTATCCATCGTGGTGGGGGGCAGATCATCCCTACAGCTCGTCGCTGTTTGTACGCATGTATGCTTACAGCAGAACCTCGCCTCATGGAACCTGTCTACTTGGTGGAGATTCAGGTAAGAGTTTAGTACATTTTGAATAAACACAGAAATTATATCTGGGTAAAGAATATGTAGCCCGTGCTTTTGGAGATTATCTGCATCATTTCAAACAGTATTGTTTATAAATCTTCAGTTTACAACATACTTGAACAAAATAGGAAATACAATTTAATAATGAATTATTTATTGCCTCATTTTCTCTTACAGTATAAATATTCATTTTCAACTTCCATGCATTGTTCAGGGTGTCATTAAGATTGATTTTTTTTTTTTGCACTAAATATCTAATACCCAAATTTACTTTATAATTTATTAGACCAGTGGAACCACTATTTGATTTTCAGAATTTATTTTAATGCATTGCAAAACTTTGATTACATTCTGACCTAAATATGTCAGTTTTTTCACGGTGTTTCACTATCGAACAACTAAAATTTTTCTTCAGTGAAAACTGAGACCTGGTGGGACTAAATTGCAACCATGTTTATTATCAGGTACATGAGTAAGTATTTCTCTAAAGATGTAAGAAGAAACAGTTCAGATGAATATAGATTAGTACATACATTTAAATTAGAATTATTTCTTTCTAATGTTTTGAATGGAATACCCTTCCATCAGGCAGTATACTACTGTTACATAGAAGTTAGGCTTGGAAAGTCTTGACCTTTCCTAGCCTAACTTCTCTAATGCTGTAAATATATACTGGCTTCAGGAAGACATCTTCCTGAAATATTGCAAAAAATAGTTTTCATTTGGGCATTTTTATAATCATATACATGATTTTGTTTACTATGCCATCTTGTCTTGAATGAATGCTAGTTATTAAGGATGGTGGAACTTGGGAGAATCTTGAGTTATACCAAATTGTTTGTAAAACTCTGTATTCGTAGTAGCTTAGTAGGCTAAAGCAGTTGCATGGTTAGCATCTGTAGGTTCTTGTCAGCCCAGTTTTAGTTTCCACTTCTCCAGAAACATTTCTAATGTTACAGGATGGTGTGCCATTATTAAGTTCATTTAATTAATACATGAAATCTGTGTTTCCAACTTAAAGATGGCAGTCAGTGGATATTGAATTTCATGATAGAAAAAATTTCTGACTAAAATGATGGGAAAGAAAATTACATGGATTAATTAAACATCTTGATTGGAATCTTACTGGATGTGGATAGTAAAATCTATAATTATTTTGTTATAAATCTGATATTTATTTCTGTTGAAATAGATAGTTGAAAGTAAGTTTTACCATCATTAAGAAAGCCTTAGCAATCTAAATAGCATGTAATTAAAATTGTTTTTTTTTATTTCCCAGATATTTCAGATTAATATGTCTGTCAGTTGTTTTACTTTGCTGAGCCTTTATTTGGGAAAACAAAACAAAAAATAATTTGTATTTAAAAATGTAATATACAGTATAGTAGGTATTCAGTACATTATAAATGTGATGAACAAATACAAAAAATAAAACCAAATTTAAATGTAACATAATAGCATCTGTAGCAAAGACAGAAAATGGAAATATTTCTTGAAAAGCACATAAGGTATGGTCTGTTTCTTTCATTGCTACAATTATAGGTAACTGTCTATGTCAAGTGTATTTTCAGGTACAAAAATGCCATGTTTTAATATTTCATTACTTACCTGAAACTGGTAAACTTTAGGATGTTTGAAGGGGAATTCCCTTTCTTCATTGTATTATAAAATTCCAAATCCTCGTGTGTTTAAAATTATACTTTTTTGCACTTCCTTGACAAATTATATAATTTCTTATATATATGTATGTGTGTGTGATTATATATTACAAGATAATCATATAAAGATGCATGAGCATCAAATAAATTTTAAGTTCAATAGTGGAAGCAGTTCTTCAACATTAAATGTATGGAAACCCCTACTCTTTTACTAACAGTTTTGTACAATATAAAATCCTTTGACAGTTTATGTTTAACGAAGTAAGATTTATTTTTAATGAGCACCTCTTAGGAATATTTAATTAATTGGTTTTCTATGTCCAGTAAAGTGTCTGCAATACCATTTCGTACTTGATTGAAGCATTCAAGAGTTTGGCATTATTACCCCAAGCATACTCCAACACACTAGTAAAATTAAAGATAATTTCATAGGATATGTTCTTTGTTAAATTATATAGTAAGTAATAATAACTTTAAATTGTGTTGATAGTTAATTTTGTTTTGTTTTTTTCGTCCAGCTTTAGAATGCTTTGTATAAAAGTAAATTTCTAAGACACTTTCACAAAATAGGGTTTACTTTAGAGTATCAAAATAAGTTCTATTTTCATATTGTGGACTGCTGATACTTTACTGTTTAAATATACTTTTATAGTGTCCTGAAGTAGCTGTTGGGGGTATCTATGGAGTACTAAATCGCAGAAGAGGAATGGTGTTCGAAGAGGCCCAAATTACAGGCACTCCCATGTTTATTGTCAAGGCGTACCTGCCTGTGAATGAGTCGTTTGGTTAGTAATCCTTAAATCTGACTCACTAGCTTGGCAAACACAAACTTTTTGGTGAATTTTTTGCTACCTCTAGTTTAGTCAGTGTTTTAACTATTAACATAGGATTTGTTTTTTCTTGATAGCATTCCATACCATTTGTGTGAAATATTTCTATCATTGTAAAAAAAAAGGATTGTAATTTTTTCTTCAGCTAAGCAAAAGTTATTTTTCACCTTATTTTAAAACCTATAGCATTTCAACCATTGCAAACATTATGTGTTCATTTTATCAGGAGAGGTGAAAACCTTTCAGGTACCGTGTGCAGACCCACACATCAGATTTCAACATTTATATCAAAATAATAATTTAACTATTTCAAAAGTTTTTTTTAGACTTTTTTGACCATCTCTAAGCATAGGCTTATATTTGCTAAAAAAACTACCTTTATTTTAGAATCTAATTCTTATGATTTTGTTTCACACATGTGTTTTCCTTTTCTTTCTCTGATTTTATTTGTACAGTCTTTTGTCACACCCTTTTATAGCCTCAGAGCATGTGATGTGAACAACTAATGAAGGTCAGCTTTGAAAGGAAAGTTTAAGTAGTATTGGATAGAGCAAATTGTAAATTAATTTCAATGTAGCATGAATAAACTAGTATAAAAAGTAATATATAGTTTTGTGGGAAAATGATATAGCTCCTGCAGAAAAGAACCACAGAATTTAAAGGAAAGTTTAAAAGACTTGAACTGTTCTCATGGATTAGGAAATTTTTTACAGTTCTGATTGGAGATATCAAATGGAACTTTCTAATTAACAAGAAAATAAAGATCAAAAGAAATATTTTTAATGTTTCTTGCAAAGGCTGGACAAACTTTTGTAAATTTTACAGGGTAAAAGTGACAGAAAAAGTAAATCAAATTATATCTTTTTAAGCCGAAACTATGTATTATTTAGTAAGATTTTATTGAGTTTCATGTAACTTGGTAAAGTATGTCCACTGTGAGAAGTAAACAATCAGAATGGGTTTTTGAAATTTGAAAGAATCTTTAAGCATAGAATGGATATTTTTTTTTACACAATAATGCATAATATCTTACATTTTTGTTTGACATCAGTAATCAGTCCTTACCTCTGTTAGTTTTATCTTAAATTTACAATTCTGAAAAATGCTTAAAATGTTACATTCTGTCTTAATTATAACAACCTATGAGATCTATTCTAGTGAATTTAAAAATTGCAGGTCACTAAATTTTTTCATTAAGAAAACAGTTGTATAAATGCATTTAGCTGATCTCTTTTTGTTTTTTCTCCCATTTTAACACAATGTCTTGGATAATGATTTTTGTGTAGTTGAAACTCCATTTTTTTTTCATAATATTTTGTGCCTAGGAGGCAAATGTTAATACTTGTGGATGGGCCCTTTTTTACTTTTTTTTTCTTAGAATTTGCTACCTGGTGTTATTTCAGAAAGTGAGCAAAGAAAAAAGTGAAATATATTGTTTTCCAGGTTTCACAGCTGATCTTCGCTCCAACACAGGAGGTCAAGCCTTCCCTCAATGTGTATTTGACCATTGGCAGATCTTACCTGGTGACCCAATGGATGGCAAGTCCCGCCCTTGGCAAATAGTGATGGATACTAGAAAACGAAAAGGATTGAAAGAGGCTATACCTGAACTTGACCAGTATTTGGATAAACTATAAAGTTGCTGCAATTTAGTGTTTGTACTTTTTTTTTTCAAAACGTGAAGTGCAAATAAAACATGCAGTTCAAGGTTACATGAGTAATCTTAAAACTTTGCAATTTTATGAGTTCTACTTGGCAAGGTTTTCAATCAGAGTAACAAATTTAATTTACTTTTGTACAACTAAGTTTATTTGTAAAGTTTGCTTCTTCTGTGCTGAAAATAAAACCTGTAAAATTATTGTGCAGATACTTGGCCTTTAGCTTTGGAAAGTAAAATACTTCAACTAGAAATGAAACAGTACTTTAAATGATCTATTCATTATGTCATTTTGATAATGTTTTTACTTTCTATACAGTAAAAGATGGCTATAATTTAGTGCTGTTTCTTAACACTTTTTTAAGATTTTTTGGATGCATTTTTTTGTATTGTTTCTTGTTTTATGCATACTTCCATATTTGTCAATATCTTGTCCACATACTTTTTTACACGTGCAGTGATGTTAGGCTTTTCTTGTGCATAATGTTTAGTGATGTTAGCAACAGATGCTATTTTGGAATATCAGTGCATAAATGATTAGAGGGCTGTTTTGGTACCATAGGACATCTCTCAGTGAACGTTTAGTTGTTGGATATAAGAAAAGGTGGGGCATATTTTATACATTTGATTTGGTTTTGTACTTTAGTTTTTTTTTGGTCTGAAAACAGTGGATACACTGAACTTCTGGTGACAAGATATAATGGAACTTGAATAAGACACTTGAAAGTGGTAGAACTTGGTAGGCTTTGTAACAGAATTTGCTAGGTAATAGTAGAGATCTGTCTTCTGCATGCAGTTTATTCTCCAGTGTGTTCTGTGGGAAATGGGGTTATGTCATTTTTGATATGACGAAAATTGAAGTCTGTTATTGATTTAAAATATGTGCTGATCCTACGAGTACTGAAAATACTTTTTGTGGCTTACGATGAAATTAAAGTCATCAGGCATTCTTAAAACACAGTAATATAATGAACATTAAAGTTTTCAACAAAATACTTTTCACCAATGTATAAAGAAAATCTGACACTTTTAACATTTGCATTCAACTTGTCATAATTTTTAGAAATAGGGAATACCTTCATTTTCTAGTAGTAATAAACAATTTACTGAAACAATGTGAGTTTTCTGTTTCATAAACAAGAAGGCATAAACTGAAAGGAACAGTACAAGTCTTGATAATGGATTAAGCCAAAACATAGTTTATAGACATTTGCATATAACGATGCTAAGTTAGACAAAGCTACCATTTCCCTTATCTACAGTGACTAGACTCTTTACTAAAACATTGTAATTGTTAACTTAATCTATTTTGTTTGGTGTTTACCATCCATCACAATCAGAAAAGTTAAAGCAGTATCAATGAATTAGCTTTCATTTCCCTTACCTGCAACAACTAGGTTAACAGCTAAACATTGTAATTGTTAACCCAACTTATCTGTTACAATAATCAGAGATGAATTAAAAAGTATATAAAGATTGCATTTAATTGTTCAATTTTTAAGGCATTTATTACCCGCTGAGAGATAGAAAATAGTCCGTTCTAACAGTTGTTAGAATGAACAGAAGGTACAACAGTGTAGAACCTAGAAAAATGATATCCCTGGCAGGGCTGTCTTTTGATCTTTTATGGTCTCTAGCACCGATGGGGATCCTATCTCACAAACAAGATTCAAAAGTAAGTCACCCCACTATTCCCCAGGGAAGTAATTATGCTGAAAAATAAAAAAAAATTAAGAACAGGATAATAGAATATTGATAAAGAACAACAAAAATAAATCTTTAGTGAGGTTATTTATAAGGTTATTTTTCATGGATATTTTGAAAATTAAAGAAATAATTCAACAAAACAAAAGTTAAATAAAATACATTTAAATAATAAAATTAAAAAACAATATTGAGTACATTAAAAAAAAGCCAAAAAGTCTATTTTCTAACTATTCTTTTTCTTCCAAAATTTCTGATTCAATGCTTTAAAAGATAATGCATTTAACATGTTTAGATGCATGCTGTTTCAAAGTTAATTTTTGATATTTGTTTATCTTAAAAAGTTAATGCTCCCTACTGCAGTTTATTACCATAATAGATAATTCTTGGAGCAATTTCCACATTTGGAAATGTCAGTTCTAGAAGATCTTTCTTTATCATAGACTAAATTGCGTCAATGTTAGGCTTTTCCATGTCTGGTATGTAATACTTAACTTTGGAAATCAATTGTTCTGTATTTAAGTCATTTTGGATAAGATGAAGCTAGGGTTTTGGTTCGAACTATTATTTCTTCTGGGTCCAATTGTTTTAGATTTCTTGAGATTTTGAATTTATTATAGATATTCTAATATGCTTCATTTTGTCTTGATAACCCATCTGTTAAGGGAGTATTTGGTGGGTATATAGGTGTAGGTACCTGATTCCAAATCTGGAATGTTTGGATCCTGAGCCATGCTGGATTTTGGAATTTTCTGGTTTTTTTGTTTCATTTAGCCTGGCATGTAAAAATGATATGAAGTATGAAATACATTCATAAAAGTTATTTATTTACCAAATTATCAATGTTTTTTCTGTTTACAAAGCAGGGGCTGTAGGCTAAATCTTTACCCCTATCACTACAGGCTTAGTAAGTAAGTAAGCCTGATAAATTACAGAGGAATTCTGTGGTATTGGTGGAATAATTTGTTTATATAAAACCTTAAAAGGTTATTTTGTTTTTCATCCTCTACATGCGAAATTTGGCAAGGTATGGCAAGCAAGTACAAACTTCTTTACAATCACTAGTAGTAGAGATTGTTGTTTTCTACATTTCTTTATTTACTGTTGTATGTTTTAAGAAAAATAATTGAAATTTAAGAATTTATTTGTAAATAGTAATAATATATCGGTGTTCTGCCCAGGTTTGAAAAAGGTTGAGTGAATTTCACTCATTTGTAAATTTTGGAGGAGTGAAAATTGAAGAACAATGAATGAATGATTTTTTAACATGGATGGAAAAATATATGAATAATAACAAATCAAGAAAAACATTCAAAAACCAACTTTTTATTTATGTTCTGTAATTTCATAAATACACACTGACTTGAAAATGATACTTTAATTATGACTAGGTCACACTGACTATATATATATATATATAAAATAATGCTGTTTTACATGTATTTGTGACAAACTGAGTGATGACTAGAAAAAAATCACACAACTAGTGATCTACCAAACCTCTTGAAACATGCTATTCTTATGTTTTGGACTGAAATATCTTTCTTAAATTTGATGATAGCCTCCTCATATAGAAACTCTTTCCAGTGACCCCGTTGTATTTTGAGAGTACAAGTGTTCTGTAAATTATAAGAAGATAATCTATTTCTCATTGATGTTTTAACATGGTTTTGGGCACTGAACCCTCTCTGACAATCAGCAGTGTGTACAGGAAAAACAAGAGAGCAATATGTGCTACTTTTAAAAGGTTTGGTAGATCACTGGCATGATGATAAAATAGCCCATAATTCTGACATTTTATCAGTTGGGTACATAGAAGATTCCACAAGACTCTTTACAAGAGACAATTCAATACTTGTTTGCTCTTGGTCAATATATTTATTGAATTCACCCCTATCAATGCCATAATGATCAACGAGTTTCTGAATGTGTTCATTGCCCCAATTATCAAGGTCTTCACTGATAAATCTCAAACCCAGATGACCCAATGCCTCAAGCAAAGATATTTACTGCTCTGGAGATCGATTACTGATAGTTTTTAACAGGCTTTCAATAAATTGGCATTAGTAGTTTGCACAGCTTCAAATAGATGAACAGCATTGTGAATTGTCACTTCTTTATACTCATTTGTTTTGGGACTCAGAGTCTGAAAATACACAAGATTCATTCATTTCATTTAGCATTATTTATCAAAAGTTACTGCAATATTAGTTAATGTCACTTGTTCCTACACTTTTCTGATTTATTAATAAATTATTTGTGATTTTTTTAACTTTAGTTTGTAGGAGATTATATGTAAAAGATACCTTGAAAAATTCAGTTAGATTTGGACCATTTTCTTGAGATAGCCTCTGAAGTTCTGACCTTGCTGCTTGCAGGGCTGGCTTAACAATGATGGGATCTAAATCCTGCTTCTGAAAGATAAGGTTCAGCTTTCTCATCACTGGAATGATATCCATCAACATAAAACCAGTGCCAATGAAATGGACAGACTTAAAGTCTTTGAGGATGCCTTATGCAGTTGCATCATTCTAAAATATAAATTAAACAATTATGAACAGATTTGTACATGTGTAAATTGCAATTGAATGTAAGAATAAAATTTAAATTATATATATCGTCAAACAAATTTCTATTGCAACTTAATTTTTTTTTTTTTACATTTATTGCTAATCAAGAAACTTCTTGTCATAAATTAAATAATCAACTGTTGCTCCAAAGTTGAACACAGATCATCCCAATTTCTGTGGACAGCTTCCATTGCTGAGTAAAAACTGAACCACCTCACTCCATGCATTTCCTTGACAGTGATCAGTGGAGAATCCAAAATGTCTTGCATTTTTTGAAGCTTTGCAGCAAAACAACCAGAAAGGCTTCCTTTGAACTAATGAAGCAAGTTACCCATAGTTGTTTGATATTTTCGAAGGTAACTCACTTTCTCTGCAGTCTGTGAAGTACACAAGGCTAATTTGTATGCCAGACAATGTACATCCCTGATCATTCTTCCTGTCACTCCATTTTTCATACCTGTCATCACTGCTGCTCCGTCGGAACCTAGTCCGATACACTTAGTTTTGTCAATTCCATAATTTTTCCTGATCTTTTTGAGCTCATTAAAGACTGTTTTTGCGCGGCCATCACATATGCAGACATTGCACATAAACAGTTCAGGAGGCATGGATTTACAATCAACTACCGTCACATAAACAACTTTTGACATAATGGTTATGTCTGTGCTTTCATCAGTTAGAAATGTAACAAATGGTGATGAGTCAATTTTTATTTGTATGTTTTCACGCACCACATCTACCATACTTTCTATCATCTCCATGGCAATTTTATCAGAATTATATGTGGCATTGTTTCCATTGTTTAGTTCAGAAATGTGACGAAATCAACAATGTCTTTATATTGATGAATTGCATATCTTTTTTTAACCATGAAATGGACAGTTTTAAATCCTGAGATCAAGCTTTCTGCTTTTTAGATATTGCTTTTAAAATA